GGAATCTGTCCATTTCTTCTGTGTTTTCCATTTTATTAGAGTACAGGTTCTCAAGGTAGGTATTGATGATCCTCTGGATTTCTGCTGGGTCTGTTGTGACTTCACCTTTTTCATTCTTTTTTTTTTGGTACCAGGGATAGAACTCAGGTCCTTGCGCTTGCGAGGCAGGCAGCAGAACCACTGAGTTAAATTTCTGGCCCACTTTTTTGTTTTGTTTTGTTTTTTGTTCTTTTGGTACTGGGGATCAAACTTGGGACCTTGCGCTTGCAAGGCAGGCAGCAGAACTACTGAGCTAAATCCCTGGCCCCCTTTTTTCATTTTTAATTCCATGGATTTGAGCCTTTTCTTTCCTTTTTTTGATAAGGTTGGCTAAAGGTTTATCAATTTTATTTATTCTTTTGAAAAACCAACTCTTTGGTTCATTAATTCTTTGTGTCATTCTCTTAGTCTCCATTGCATTGATTTCTACTCTGATCTTTATAATTTCCTCTCTTGTATGAGCTTTAGGTTTGTTATGCTCTTCTTTTTCTAGGAGCTTTAGGTTCAGCATTAGGTTATTTATCTGAGTTCTCTGTATTCCTAATAAGGGCATTCACTGCTATGAATTTCCCATGTAGAACTGCTTTCATTGTGTCCCGTAGATTCCTATATGGTGTACTGGCATTATCATTTACTTGTAGAAACTGCATAATTTCTTCTTTAATTTCCTCTGTGACCCATTGGTTGTTCAGGGGGATGTTATTCAATTTCCATGTGTTTGTGGGAGTTTTGCGGTTTCTTATGTTATTGACCTCCCATTTTATTGCACTATGGTCTGATAATATACAGGGGGTAACTTCAATTCTTTTACATTTACTTAGACATGTCCTATGAGCTAGCATGTGATGTATTTTGGAGAATGACCCGTGTGCAGCTGAAAAGAATGTGTATTCTGATTTTGTGGGGTGGAACACTCTGTAAACATCTGTTAAGTCCATTTGTTCAATAGCTTTGTTCGGTTCTAGAATTTCGTTGTTAATTTTTTGTCTAGATGATCTGTCTCTTTGTGATAGATAGTGGGGTATTGAAGTCCCCCACTACAATTGTATTATTGCTTATTTGGTTTTTCATGTCCATTAATACTTCTTTTGTATAGTTGGGGGCATTCATATTTGGTGCATATATATTTAGGATTTTCATCTCTTCCTCTTGGATTATTCCCTTCACAGGGATGTAGTGACCATCTTTGTCTCTCTTAATTAGTTTTGGTTTAAAATCTACTTTGTCTGCAAATAAGATTGCTACCCTTGGTTTTTTCTGGG